AAGAACATTTCACCTGGGGGATGGGAATAGGCTGCAAGAGTCCCCCAGGGCGGCGGTTGCTGGGCTTATTGCGTTGACACGCGTCGCACGAGCGGATGTAACGCCGGACGTCCGCTTGGAGGTCCGGCCAGTAGAAGTTGCGGGTGGTGACTTCTTCGGTCTTGTCCATACCTATATGGGCAGAGGCGTTACAGTCGTGGTTAGTACGGAGTACACGTGTGCGGAGTTCAGGTACGGAAGGGATGTACATGCGACCGGAGTGATACAACAACCCATCGTCAAGCGAGAACAAGGCAAAAGCAGTGTCAGCCAAGATCATGCGCGAGACAGCCATCTGGGCATAGGGGTCAGCGGTGGTAGCGAGGCGGACATCGGTTAAGAATGCCCGGTCGGGGATCAAGGATGACACAGCTGCGAGGACAGGTCTGTTAGCGGGAGGTTCCGGTTTGTGGTCCGGTCGTCGGGAGAGGGCGTCTGGTACAATGTTCAGGCGCCCTTCCCTGTACGTGAGGTTAAGGTTAAACTGAGTGAGTTGCTCCTCCCACGGTGGTGGCGGGAGCGCATAAACTCAAGTTTTAGTGGAAAGAGGAGTGGCCGGTGGTCGGTACGGACGGTGACCGGGCGGCCGAGTAAGTAGTGCCGCCACTTGTGTGTGGCGTGCACCAGTGCGAGTTGCTCCCGGTCGCGAGCAGAGTAGTTGCGCTCAGCGCGGTTGAGTCGCTTCGACTCGAACGAGACCGGTTGGAGGTTGGTACCGTTGGTACCTTGCAGGAGTACACCACCGACAGCAAAGTCAGAGGCGTCAATGTCAAGTGTGCATGGTAGATCAGGGTTAAAGGGGCGCAGGGTCGGTGCATGGGTTAAGCTAAATTTGAGGGAATTGAACGCATGGTTATGCCTTTCCGTCCACTCGAATTTGGCACCCTTCACCAGCAAATCAGTCAATGGAGTGGCAATGCGAGAAAAATCGCGAACAAATCGGCGGTAGAAGCCACTGCTAAGCCAAGAAATGAGCAAATATCGCCCGGGTCCTGGGGTTGAGGCCATGCGGTTACGGCCGCAATTTTGCATGCCTCCATTGACACCCCGTCAGCGTTAATGACGTGACCGAGGAAGGTAACCTCGGTCCGCCATAATTCACACTTGGACTCCTTGGCGTAGAGGGTGTGTTTGCGCAGGCGTGTGAATACCTCCCGGAGGAGGCGCTCATGTTCCTCTGCAGAGTCGGAATAAATGAGAATGTCGTCAAGAAAAATGACAACGCCTCGTTCAAGCAAATCCCAGAAGACACTGTGCATTAAATCCATGAAAGCAGCAGGGGCATTAGTCAAGCCGAATGGAAGGACAAGCCACTCAAAATGACCGTATCGAGTCCTAAAAGCAATCTTCGATACGTCGTCAGAATGGATGGGAATCTGCCAATAACCGGAGCGCAGGTCGATTTTAGAAAAGAATTTAGCATCGTGGAGTTGGTCGATGAGGTCATCGGCCCGGGGGAGAGGGTACGCATTTTTAACGGTTTGTTTATTAAGTCCCCGGTAGTCAATGCAGAAGCGCAAGCCCCCGTCCTTCTTGGGGGCGAAGAGGACGGGGGCCCCCCAGGGAGAGTTGCTCGGGCGGATGAACCCCTTGGCGAGGAGGTCATCCGGAGTGCGCCGCAACTCCTCCAACTCTGAGGGGGACAACCGGTAGATGGGACGATTGACCGGGGTAGCGCCCGGTTGAGTCTCGATGCGGAATGGCATACCCCGGTCAGGAGGTAGATTGCCCGGTAGATCCTGAGGGAAGAGGTCGGGGAATTCAGTCTTAGGTCGTTCGCAACGTTCGTACTCAGGTGCATTAGCAGTGGCAGTGTCAGGAGTAACGTTCGGAACGACTTGAAAGACCGGTGATTTTTTTTTTATAAAGTTTGTTAATCTGGACGGAGTTAAGCAAGCGATCGCCAAATTCCTTGCGCAATGCACGCTTGCCGGGTTTACCGGCCTCCAGCGTTACAACCCGGCTTGCATGCACGAAGGAAATGGTACGCCGCAACCAATCGACAGACTTGTTACCCGACTCTAGCCACGGAAGACCTAGGATGACGTCATATGTTACATCTGTAACTGTGAAATGTAGGTCCTCGGAATACTCAGAACCGACCGAAAATGGCACGGCTTGAGTAGTCCATTTGACCGGTTGCTGTCAACCGTTGGCTAGAGTTACGGGCTCCAAGCTATCGTCAGACCGTAACGCAATGTTCAAACCACGCGCAAACTCAGATGACATCACAATATCCGAGCAACCAGAATCAATCAAAACCCTGCATGCACGACCTAGGACCTGACCACGCAGAAAGATCAAGCGAGAAGATTTGGGTCCGGTGGGACCCGAGGTGGGTGGGGCAGCCTTGCGGTTCCTGGGGAGGGACGTGCGGTCCCTTGCAGTGTTGCCACCAGTGGACGTCCCGGGACCGTCTACTGGGGCGTGAAGTTTTCCGAGCTGCGAGGCTCAGAGTCAAGGTCGATGAGGTCGGGGTGGTCGGTGGACGGCGCTTGGTGGTCAATGTTATTGACACCAGGGCGCTGCACAGGGGATTGGGTGTTAAGGGGGCAGTTAGTCGCAATGTGCCCGGTTTGCCTGCATCGGAAGCCACCGCCAATCTTCCGTAACCGATCTCTCTCAGCATCGGTTAGCGGGGGCAGTCTGCGCCTCAGTGCATCAATCTCCATGGAAACAGGGTCAGCGACAGGGTTAATAGGACGGGGAAGAATAGGGATTGGGTTAGTGGAATTGAACCGCCCTTCACAGGGAGAATTGGTTTCTCCCCGGGCCCTTCCTCCCCCCCTTCTCTCCCCCCCGGGAAGGGAGACTACATTCTCCTCCGGTGGGGGAGAAGTCACCCCCACATGAGGGGCGGAGAACGGTCTC